GTGTTTGGGGGCCAGGCTTGATGTCTAACAGTGTGGGGTGGCAGGGTAGTAGGTGTAACTACAGAAGGGCAATGACACAGTCTTGTGATCATTTGAATATTCTGCATCTTGGCTGTATCAGTATAGTGTTCAAGTTATGAAATTAAACATTCACCAGAGTCTATCTTTTCAGGAAATTACATGGAGGATATAAGGGATCTCTGTATTATTTCTAACAACTGCTTGTGAATCTTAAATTACTTCAAGATAAAAGTTCTAATTAAAATTTTGATGTAATCCTTTTTGGAAAAGTAAGTCAAAATGTGAGTGCTCATATTTTCTAGTTAGCGAAGTAAACAAAAAGGGTGAAATTGTAATTAGGCGCCTCATCTACCCCAATATGACCAAATTACGATCTCAACGAACGTGTGATCAACATAAAAACTATTACTAAGATATTTGTGTTTCTGTCTTGGAGCAGATTATTACACCAAAAATACAATGGACTGGGTGGCTTATTTATTTCTCATAGTTGTGTAGGCTGGGAAGGCACCGTCCAGGTACTGACAGACTCTGTGGTTGACCAGAACCCTGTTCCTGGTTTGCAGACTGTCACACCGTCAGATGGGAGAAAGCACAAGTTCTAGTCTTTTTCCTTTCCTAAGCGGTATTCATGCCCTCACGGGGCCCCTTTTCTCCTAAGCCTATCGAACCCTAATTACTTCCCAAAGGACCAGCTCCTAATTCCTGCCTGTTGGCATTAAGGGATGCTTGCTATTCAACGTGAATCCAAGGTGGCTCCACATGCAGTTCCTAACTACTGCTTCTCTTACAAAATGCTTGAAATCCGTTATGCATGTTGAGCTTACCAAGTCCTTGAGTCACGCCAGCCAGAACTGTAGTACGCGACAGCTGCGTGTGGTTAGCAGTTACTCTGACGAACGGCACGGTAAAAAGGAACTGATTTGTGTATAGGAAATACTCATTCTTGCGAATCACCATTTCTCCTGAGATGCAGAGAACAAGCTGTTACAGAACAAGGAGAATTTCTGGGAACTTCTTTCCTTGACGCGGAGGCTTAATTCGGGAAGGAGAAAGACAAAGGTTGGTTCTGGAAGCTCCCTGATGGAAACTGCGCATCCTCTTGAATTTTCTCCACAGAGCTCACACCGGCGCTACCCTTGTCCTCAGTGCCCACCTAATGGAGCTCCCCTTCCACCCGCAGCAGCTAGTTCTGGCTCCAAAGAGCCTGGGTGGCATGAACAGAATGTTTCCATCTATCTCATCACAAGGTGACAGAGTTGTGAACAGGCATTTTTACCCTTACAAGTTGCTCCTAATTCCTTAGTACTTAGAGACTCAGCTCCCAGCCCCCTCTGGGGACAGCTTGCTCTCCTGGTTTGCTTTGCTTTTGCTTTCCCCCCTATAGCAGCTTCCCTGAATGTCTGTGCCTTGGCAACCCCAGAAGTGGGCTTGTTCCAGTGTCTTCTTTCTGGCTAGGAACTGCTGCTGTCAGGCTGCAGGGGAGGTGACCAGCGCAGATGCCCCGTCCACAGCTGCCCAGATATGAGGGCAGGCTGCTTTCTTAGAGGCTAACAAAGGCGATTTTTGCAGAAACCTGGCCATTTGGGGGCAGTACACATCTTCAGCTATCTTCAGCTGACACTAGGTATGGAGTGCTGCTGCCCTCAGACTCCAGCTCTCTGGGTCTCAAAGATGCACTCCTGTCTGTCCATGCTGAGAGATCGGCCCGGTGTATAGTGCTGCCTCATGGTTGTTCCATTAGAGCCCATGTAACTGTGTGGCATGCCAGTGAGTTACTTTAAGGTGCTGAGGGGGAATTGCTCAGGGAGAATGTCAGGGGAAGAAAGGACGCAGGAAGCACTGGGCCTGGGTGCCTTAGTGTGACACTAGACTGTATGATTTTTCTCTCTGCCTAAGTTATTTCAATCTGTAAAGTGAGGATAATAATAGCTCGCACCTTGTAAGGTGGTTCTCAGGATTACATGAGGTAATGTATAGACGCACTTGGAATGGTGCACGGAGCATAGTTAGGATTAAGTAAGCAAGGTCACTGCTGTATATTCAGGGTGGTACAGGAGAGGTGAGCTCTCCTTGAGCTATGGAACACTGTCTGTCCCATCAGTGAACTTCTGGACCTAATCCAAGAGTCAGATGTTAAGACAAAGCCAAGGTCAGTTGTGGCTGCTTTGTCTAAGTGCGTACGTGTTATAAAGGACTTGCCAAAGCAGGGATTTCAGGTCTCAGCCTCAACAGACACAGGTTTGGGCTAGTGGTGGAAGAGAAGAAGCCTGCAGAATCCCTGTAGGTGACAGTAGAATGCATCTCACAGACCTCTCCTACAGGAGCACCTGCTCTGCCCTCCCTCAGCAAGGCCTGGACTTTGGCTCTTGTACCCAACAGAAAATGTAAAGGTGGTAAATTACCTGCCTTGTGGTTCTGTGACACCCTGCTGGCATGGAAGAAGTGGAGTGGTGTACGGTGGGCCCCACATTAAGGAGCTATAGGCAGCCTCCTGATACTCAGAGTGGACTGTGGCCAGCAGGCAGCAAAAAGCCAAGCACCTGATTTCAGATAACTTCATGGAAACGAATTTTCCTAACAACCCAAGTGAGTTTGAAACCAGATTCTTTCCCATTCCAGCTTGAGGATGAGACTCAACTATGTATGCACCCTTGATTTTCAATTTCAAAGTGAGACTTTGAACAAAAGATCCAGGTAAGCAAGGCCCTGAGCCCCAGGATGAATGAGATAATAAATGTATCATCTTATACCACCAATGTATGGTAATTTGCTATAGAGCAAAAAAAAAAAAAGAGTACATATGGGCATAGAATAAACAGAAGTTGAGATATGAATCTGCATGGAGGGCTCCAGGGCCTGTAGCATCACAAGCTCCTAGTTTTGAGTTCAGTGGGAAGCAATCTCCTCTCTCCCACAAGGCCCTATGAAAGTCTTTGTTTCTTACTGGTTCCAAGAAAGTCATATACCTATTCATAAACCAGTGGTGTTGCCTGATAGACAAGGAATTAGTCACATGCTTACCACAGGGCCAGAAAGATGAGCAACTCCCCCTAAACGCCTGGGCTGAGTTATGGGGTGATAGGGTACAGCTGATTACAAAGTTGGCAGGAGCAATTCTTCTCATGCTTCTCTGCAGTGCGACTATACTGCTCCTTTCTTGACTTCTGCTGGTCTCATGAATTGTGGGGTTAATCTATGTCCTCTGTGAAGCAGATGCCATGGTGAGACTAGCCAAGCAAGGTCTTCTTGGTAGATGAGACTAGGGAAGGAGGTGGGAAAGTTGAGCTGTGAGGCCATGATGAAAGTCCAACCCCAAGAGAAGACAGAGAAGAGCAGATTGGTTAGAAGTGTCTGAGAAAGGTTTGGCCAGGGCACTGGGGAATCTTGTAGCCCAGGACAGCTAGCTTAGAAAGGAGCCTGTGTCTCCCACATGAAGATTTGCCTTCATATTTAGTTTGGGGATTCTACAAAAATTCAGCAATGGACCTCAAAGCACAGTAGCTGAGGGCCTCAGTCAACAACATCTCCTGTAGGAGAGGTCTGTGAGATGCATTCTACTGTCACCAGACTTGGTTTCACCAGTAAAGTGTAGAAGAAATGAAGTTATACAGTGTCCAAGGCTTCAGGGACTTGTAGCTTCACTTTCATTCTCTTGGAACGTTCCCTTGGGCTACTGTGGAAGACACTCGCCATTGCGAAGATGAACACCTCCAGGAAGAGATCTGGGAGACTCCAATCCTCAAGCCAACACCAACTGTAGATGCGTGGGAGGCTATCTTGTGTCCGTCAGGCCATCCAAAGGCAACGATGTGAGTGAATCCAGAAGAATCAGTGGAGGAATCAAGTGAGAAATAGGTCATTGTCAATGTAAACCACGAAGTTTTGAGGTGACAGTTTATGTAGCAATAAGAAACTAAAGCAAAAGTAAAGGTGGCTCCTATCTGGGTGACCCAGGCTCAAAACATATCCAACATGTGCTCATATAACTACTAAAAGAACTGGGCATTCTTTTAGTACATGTCTATAATCCCAGCACTCTGGGAGGCTGAGGCAGGAAGATTGTAACTTGGAACCCAGCCTGAGCAACTTAGAGTCTTAGTGAGACCTTGCCTCAAAATAAAAAATAGTAAAAGGCTGGGGATATAGCACAGTGGTATGGCCCTGTGCTCAATCCCTGTACCATAAAAGTAACCAGTTAATAAAGGACAGGAGTCCAAAGTGTAAGAAGGGTCATTACTTTGCTTTTGACAGCTCCACAAGCCCCAAGAGGAAAGCAGCCTCAGCCCCAAGTGTTTTTCACACACACTCTCCCTCTGACTGGCCTATACTAGGCCCAACAGGCCTTGCTTGAGCAGCGGTTTCCACTTTGCTCCCATGCTGAGGCCTCTGTGAAAACTCATGGATGCAGTTTGGTCTGTGCAGCATCCCAGGCATAAGATGGCTTCAAATCTCCCTGGCAACTTCCAAGTGCTGCACGGTACCCAGTTGACAGTGTCTCGCAGCTGCACGGTACCCAGGCTCCACCTGCCCCCAGCACAGGAGGTCACTGAAGGCTCCTTGTTCAGACTCCAGTCCTGCCCACATCCCATGCTGTCCCAAGAGGCACATGAGAATTGAGCCTGGTCACCGCTAGATTCAGCAAAACCCTTTGTGGAGGGGGAGTATCACTTTCATAGATCTTCAGGCTACAGGTTCATGGCATAATTCAGGAACAGATCCAGGGCCTGCGAGCTGTTGAAGTACTCCTGAGTGTCCCCAACAATTTCTAGTGAGGCCTCCAAGTCGTTGCCAGGCAAATTCTACAGGAAGGGCAGGCAGGGCTGCAGCGATTCCTCCCCGCAGCTGGGAAATGGGCTGTTCCAGCCTTGGAAGTACCAGGTCTGCGTGTTCCATCCAGGTCTGTGCATTCCAGGTCTGCGTATTCCAGGGCTGTGTTCCATCCAGGTCTGCGTGCTCCAGGAGTGGTTGCCCCATGACTAACTATTCCATGCTGTGTTGTTCCAGATCTGGTTGCCCCACATGGGAAGGTTCCCGGATGTAGTCACCAGGCTGCCCTGGGCATACTTGGAGCAGGTACCTGTGCCCTTCTGAAATGTGTCAGCGCTGTTCTGCCAGTTGCTTTTCTGCCATCTCTTACATTTCCTTCTCTGATTTTGGAACCAGGTCTTCACCTGCTTGTAGCTGAGGTTCTGGGTGCTGCGGAGCTCCTGCATCTGTTGCAGGCTGAGGTACTTCTGCCTCTGGAAGCGGTCGTTGAGCACGCAGAGTTGCGTGCTGTGTGAAGACTGGTGCGCACCTTCTGCTTCTTCACCTTCTGCTTGCCTGAGGCCTCCACGAAGCCAGGCAGGGGAACACAGGGGCTGGTGGAGGAGTCGGGTGTCTGCTGGATGAGCCGGTCCCCCGAGGAAGGGAGGAAAGAGGCAGCAGCCTCGCAGAGGGGCACGTCTGCCTCGGGCGTCTGCAGGGAGTTGTAGGTTTCTGCAGGCCTCGGAACCTAGATTCCCCGATTCTGCTGCTTCGAAGCAAGGCAGACTTGTGGGTAATCCCGGACCACACTCACAGTGGTTGGCAGAAGGAAAGAAACCAATTTAAGGAATTTTATAATAGTTGGGACCAGGGACGTAGTTCAGTAGCGCAGTAGAGTTCGATTCCCAGTACCAAAAAAGAAACTAGTAAAAAACAAAACAAAACAAAACAAAAACAAAAACAAAAACAAACAAACAAACAAAAAAAAAAAAAAAACAGGGCAAAAAAAGTTCCCTAATGGTTGGAAAAGACCAAGTTCCTCTTTATGACTTAAAGGCCAAAGTGGGAAATAGTTGAATAAAAAGAAGACTCCCATGCCACGCAGTGCAGGAGTCGGGGTGAAGTGATCAGGTCTTCGTATTAGTTTTTCAAACATTTTTCACCTAGTTGTTTTCTTTATTTGGTTCTTGCTTTGGTTTCTCTCCTAGTAAAAGAAGTGACAATATTAAAATACTAAATTTGCTTAGCTTTATAAGAATACCGGAAAACCAAAGTCATTTTCATCAAAATTCTGTACAAATATTAAGTATATTCCAGGTTGGATTTACTGTCAACCTCAGAGAATAACTGGCAACTTGAATTGTTTGCTCAGTGCCAGAAGAAATGTGGAAAGCGATCACGCGGAGGTCTGAAACACTCTGTTCTCAGAATCCCTCCACTGTCAGTTTGTAAATGACTTCCATTCCCTAGCATAGCAATAGGCTGTATTCTTACACTTGTTTATCTACATTAAAATCAGCCTTTATTTAACTCGGAGGGCTATCTACTGCTGGGAAATAAAAATCTGGTGCTTGTTAAACATCTACAGTGTTGGGGCTGGGGAGATGGCTCAGTGGAATAAGTGCTTCCCTGGCAAGTGCAAGGGTCTGAGTTCAATCCCCAGTTAGGCCAAAATGAAAAGCAAAATGAAACAAACAAACAAAAAAATCTACAGTCTTTATAAGAAGTCATGTTCATGTGGGAATATATTACAGAATAAAGAACAAAGTATTAGTGTGAATGGTTTCTCTGGAAAGATTCATTATGCAAAATAGATGGCAACAGTTATTAATAAATATGGGAACCAGGAAATGATGATATTTCAAAATATCAAATATATAAGGATTTTCCTAGCCTCTAATCCCTCTCTCTGTCTCTCTGTGTAGTACATTTCTAACTGGTAGTCACCTTATTACACCCAGCTGAATTAAGCTATAGTGGTGCTGGGTATGGGAGGCCCACCTGAGGATTGTTGCCAGCAGCACAAAGGCAGAACAGGAGAAGCTGCTGGAACACTATTAGGGATGTTTGGAGAAGCTGTTGGAGCTGTTGGAAGCTGCTAGTTTTCTTGGGCTGTTCCGCAGGAGGACCTTGTCATGCTGGCTTTCCTGGTGAGCTTTGGAGAAGTTTTGGTCCTTTTTCTTTTTCTAATATATATTTTAGTACAGGGCCTACAGGATCTCACTACACAGATTGGACTCATAGTGATCCTTATTTTTATCTTCCCAAGTGCTGAGATTACAAGGGAGTACCACCATGCCCAGACTCAGTCGCCATCTCAGTGCACCCTGGGGCCTATGCTGGCATGGCAGGCCAGGGATTGAACCCCAGTCCCTGTGTCTGCCTAAGCAGGTGCTTTAATCCACTGAGCTCCCTGGCCAGCCAATTTTTTTTTCTGGCTCAGCCTGCCCTGAGGGCAGGACTGGCACCTTATGTGGTGCCGGGAATTGAACTGTGGTCCTCTGAGCCTACCTAACCTTGCCTAAGCAGGCACTTTAGACTGCTGAGCTATCTTGCCGGCCTCTGGTCCTCATCTTGAGCATCGCTTCCTGGCTCCAGAGGGGAAGATGGTGCACTGCTCAGCCTCATGGAGAAGGTTGTTGCATTGCTTTTCCTGATAGGAACTTGACTTTCCTCATTGCTAGAGGAAGTGGGAAACTCACTGTTGCTGAGGATAGCTTTGGTACTTTTGGGGGAGTGCTGGTGCTTACCTTGAGCATTGCTTTCTAGCTCCAGTTCAAATCTCTCAGCCTGTTAGCACACATCCTTCATCCCACTTGCATAGACTTTCTAGGTTCTACCACTGACCTTTGGGTATTACTAGCACAGACTCATGAGGTAGGATCCAGGCCATCAGCTGGATTCTTTAGTATTTAGTGTGTGGATAGATTTCTTGCACTAGTTGTATATGATTCTTGAGTGATTCCTTATAAACTAATATTATAAAATGTGTCTATGCTGCTATTCTCCAGCAGTACCTTAAGGTTTTTTTCTTCACTTGTTTGAAATTCTATTTGCTTTTTCATTCTCAATGCCCAATATCTACTTCCAATAAAGCATGTTTATAATTCAGAAAATGTGTCTTGTATTATATTGTTCCGCACCGAAAAACCCCAAACCACTACACTCTGTCTCTGTCTCTCTCTGTCTCTGTCTGTCTCTGCCTCTCTCTCTCTCTCTCTCTCTCTCTCTCTCTGTCTCTGTCTCTGTGTGTGTGTGTCTCTCTCTGTCTCTCATACACACACACACACACACACACACACATCCTACTCCATAAATCTTTGGCTGAGCCACAACTGGTGCTGGAAGGGCTTGCTTTATTCAGCATTTACTGGTAATTTTCATCGAGCAGTACATTTTCATTTTTTAAACAAGGCCACAAATTCTGGGGTTCAAATTAATTTTCCCTTGGGCTGCTCTTTCCACCCTATCCCCTCTAAGAGGAAGACAGATTACTGGCCAGAATTGAGGCAAGGAATGATTCGAGGCCTTCACAGAAAGCCACCTTAATGCCCGAAAGCCTTCATACAGAGGAAGCAAAAGGGTGACACTGGAGGGGGCAAGTAGTAGTCGCTCAACTCTAGCAAAAAGTACAGTTAAGGAGGTTCTCATGCATTTTAGCAGTTGGCTTCACCCCTTAGATGTGTGTGCTGGCTGACATGAAAGAAAGAATGGTTGAAACATAGTCTAAATAATCAGTCAAGTTCATGTAACAAGAAAAAAGGGCCAGATGAAGCCCACCTACGAAATGCAACTGGAAATCTGCAAGAGCAAGTGAGAGAGGGAACTGGATTACCAAATATGGGGAGATTTTTACACCCTGCCAACTAGTACCTCCTTCTCACATCCTGTGATTCCAAGTCTCTATTTTGCAGGAAGAAAAGAAAGAACTGACATATTTAAATGTACCCACAGGAAAACCTCACTAGTGCCACCTTATTTAGCTAGTCTTTGAAACATGGGAAATCTTGAAGACTGTCAGGTTGGCAAATGCTTATCAACATGTCCAACTCCAGGAGACCTGGGGAGCACAATTTTGTCTGAACTGGGGGTTCCAAACCTTTAGCTCAGGAAGATTTACAAGTCTGCAGTTTGGCTTTCTGATAAAAACTCTATAGACACCTGTAACTGGTGGGCACTGGGGGTGTAGCTCAGTGTAGCGCATGCATTGAGCACATGCAGAAGCCTAAGGTCAGTTCCTGGCGCGCGCGCGCGCGCGCGTGTGTGTGTGTGTGTGTGTGTTTGTGCCCCATACACAGCTACTGGTGGGCAGGAACATTGTATCATTGTATCGCTAGTCCCTCACAATCAATACTAATGATGACTGACTCATCAGGATAAATATTTCAAGGTATTTCACAAACAATATTTCTGCCTGTTGTTTACAAGCAGTCTTTCCTAGATACAATAATCATCATTATGGAAATAAAGAATAAACCACATTTTGAACCCAAAGGCTTTAGAGCCCAACATTTCTTGCTTTGATTCCCAGATGTACAGCTTCCTACATGACTATGCAACAATGTGCAAGTAATATAATTTCTTGGAGCCTCCTGTTCCTTATTCATATAATGATCCAATTAACACCTATGTGATAGTAATGTTGGAAGAATTAAGTAATATAATGCATGTAAAGATATTAGCTCAATAGTATTTGATCATTGTTCATATTAAATGAAAGTCATTATGTAATATATTAATATGAGAGAATTGAATTAAAATTAAAAGCCAGCAATGGTTTCTATGAGTGAGTCTTTAAAATAACTCTATTGAGATATAGTTTATATAGCAAAGATTCACTTGCTTAACCTGCCCATCTTAGTGCTTTGAAGCAGGTATGGTATTTATCATTTATAGAGACTTGTACCACAATCACCATACCCAAGTTTAGAACATTTTAGTGCCATCAAAACAAACCCCTACCCAATTAGACATCATTTCCAAAGCTTTGGAAACCCTGCTTGCAAAAACATATATAAGATGTTGCTCTGCTTTGCCTCAGGGCTAATGATTTGGAACTTGCATTCCCATCAGCCTGCTAGCATTAATAAAGCATGTTGCCTTCCAAACTCCTTGGTGCAGAGCATTTTCCATTCTGTTTGGTTCATATTCTGCAACAGATAGATCCTACAAGGACTGGGGCTTTCATCAGAAAGAGCGGAGTCTTACTCATTTCTATGACCTTTGCTGTGAGCCCCAGTGGTGGAAGAAAGGAAAAAGATTATGAGTTGACCAACAGCCTTTGTCAGGGTGGTATGGAAGACAGCTTCGAAACTGAAGTCAGGATTTGAAGTTAGAAATAACCCTGGACTGGGCTGCGTGGTAGTGAGAAGAGCTGTGCCTGTTGGCTTAGCTCCTACTGTGCTGGGCGTGTCACCAAACCTGTTAGACTTGTTTGCCAAGGCAAGTGTGGTGGTTGGAGCCTGCTCCTTATAAGGCACTGGGTGACCTCAGGATGTAGGCAATACATCATGTGCATAAAGTGAACAAAGAGCCAAAGAAAATAAAGACGGTGGCCAGGCAGAAGCTATGTCTCTATTAAATAATCACTCACACAGAAACAAAAACCACTCAGACTAAGAAAAGTCTTTTAGTTTGATTACATAATCATTTGCCAGAATCTCTTAGCTGTCCACATTATGCAGCAAATGCTACAATCTAAGTTCAACCTCATTAAGGGTATTTTAATTGATTTCAGATACTACATAAGGACTTGTGATCAACAACTTTTTAAATGCATGTATTAGTAAACTATAGAAATGGAGGAAATTTATAAGATCTCCTATGTAGAAAAATTGTCATGTTAATACCTTGAACCAATTCCTACTACAAACTGCACTCTTTAATGTGGCATCAGTTGGTTATTGAGACTCAACTTGTGGGAAAGCCCTGTATTTACATAAAATCATGAAGAAGAAGAAGAAGAAGAAGAAGAAGAAGAAGAAGAAGA